CTGCTGTTACAGGCACAAGGTACTCTTCGAAAGAAGGTAAGGAGACTTAATGACCTGCCAAAGGCATAGTGAAGGCCATTCCTTTAGCTAATGAGCCTTGTTTACCCTGAGTTAGAGGAAGTGCATGCTTGGGTAAGTGTACAACCTTTTTCAGTCCCAAGACTATGTGAATAGAGAATATTATACACAACTGTCAACATTAATTGCTGAGTGCTTTTTCTTTATGCCAGCTCACACATGACCATTATAAATTTTGTGGCTTAGTCAAGAGATCAAGATTCTGCCAAGTTTTTAAAACATATTTCCTTCTTCAATAATAAATTAATTAATTTTACAAAGTTGTTGCAAAAATGAAAAATGCAAGAAATATAATAATGTATTATTTCCAACCCATCTTTGCCTTTAGGAAACAGAATTTTAGACTACATTTACAGTTATTTTCTTGAAGATTAAGGGGCTCATATGCTTATGTTTATGTTGGGGTTTTTTTAGTCAATGAGATGTTTAAACTCATTCCAGGAAATGCTTGCTTTCTCCTTATTAGTAACATACATCTTTACCCAGCTTTCTTAATGTAAAGCTAGATAGAACTCAGAATATTAGTGCCTGTTGTTTACATATTTATTTAAATGTTTTAATTGGTGTCTTTAATTGTGCTTGTGAGTGAAATTACTGTCAACTCTAATAAGCAGTAAAAAGAAGTGAATCTGCTCCAAAAAAGAGACTTCATCCGTATTCTTTGTTATGGGATAAAAAGATATTCCTGTTTAGGATTTGAAAGAGAAATTACTATAAAAAGACACCAAAAATGAGATAGGGGCCTTCTGTCACCACTCCATTCTTCCTCTTCTCTTCATAAACCCCTACTTTTAAATATACACAGAAGTTTCATAGTTTCCTAGTTGGTAGGGTTGGAAGGGACCTGAGCAGATCATTAAGTCTGATCCCCTGCCATCGCAGGAAAGAGTACTGGGGTCAAACGACCCCAGCAAGGTGTTCATCCAGCCTTTTTTAAAAAAACCCCAGGGTAGGAGCCAGCACAGCTTCTCTTGGAAGTTGGTTCCAGATCCTAGCCGCCCTGACAGTGAAGTAGTGCCTCCTGATGTCTAGTCTGTATCTACCCTCTGCCAGCTTGTGACCGTTATTTCTAGTCACTCCTGGTAGTGCTTGGGGGAACAGGGACTCTCCCAATGCCTGCTTGTCCCCCCTGACTAGTTTGTAAACACCCACTAGATCCCCCCTCATCTTTCTCTTGTGGAGGCTGAACAGGTTCAGGTCCCTTAGTCTCTCCTCGTACGGCCTGCCCTGCTGCCCCCTGATCATTTGAGTGGCCCTCCTCTGGACCCTCTCCATGTTGTCCTCATTCTAGAAACATTTTTGTTGAGGCTTATTAATAAGCACTCTAAAGTCTTCATTCATTTAATTTCAAGGAGAACATGTACAAATGGGAGCACATATAGCTGTTTTTATTATGTCTAACCTCATGTTTCCACTTAAAGTGAAACTCTTTATTTTTAAATGTTTAAGATGATACAAGATTTTTGGGATGTTATTTTTCAAATGTCTTGTAATATCAATGAAAATATTTAGAGCCAAATCCTTTTTCACCTTTAAGCATCTAAATGGCTCTTACATAGTTAGAGAAGTACAAGTTTTGGCACTTCAATAGAGTTTGGATTCTGATTCTACCTATAGCCAGAATAGGATCACACAGCTAGATATAAAGTGGATAACAAGCCTTTTAGATTTTAGTCCATTACCTAGTGCACTTGAAGAAGGAGACTCAGGGTCTAGGACCGCCCTCACATAGGGTGCATCTACACATCACCCTGTGGTGATCTAGTGATGCACTAGGTCACTATATAGCACAGTATAGCAACATAGTGATCATGTGGGTCTGCAGATGATTACCAGCTGTATCGCCCCAGCAGTGTGCTCCCCCAGTATAGCATGCTGCTACAGCCCTGGGGTGGGCATTACCTATTGTGCTCTCTCTAGTCCTCCAATTGAAGCTGGCCCACTGGGCAACCAAGAAGGAAACGTATGTGGGGATAAGAGAAGGGAAGCAAGTTAGCGGAAGAGTGCCTCAGTGATAGGGGTTTGCCTTGGAACAGAGCGAAACCTCTCCTCAGGCCTTGGCCACTGGCTTTAAAGATCATTCTGCACTTAAGCATTTAATATTCATTTAATAAAATAAACAACACTGAATCATTTCTGTCCATTTCTTCATATACTCAAGAATCTTCTAAGACAATGCCAGAAAGACACTGAGCCAATGGAAGGATGGCCAAGAATAATGGTTGGATCTAGCCAAGACATCTCTGAAGAAGTTGTCTACCATTTTTATCAAGACTGTAAATTTCTTTGACTGACGTTCAGACTTGGAACTCTTCTCCTCTTATGCGTGCTTGATATAGAAGGGATGAAGAAGCTGACAGCAGCAAAAGACTAAAGAAGCCACAATACAGCATCAAGAAGCTGCAACAAGACAACATGATCATCAAGACTTCAGTATTGTTGTCAAGGGAATATTTTTGAATAGATTCAATTTAAATTATTTTGTAATCATTTAAATAGAGAGTTGGAATAATATACTTTAAGGTATATTTTACTTGCTCTGTTAAACACCATTAAAAATGTTTAGATTGTGTACTTCTGGAGGAGTCAGAAGTTAATATTTGTGAACAAAGAGAAATAGTGACATTTACTTTGAATTTAGGAGTTTTAATATTCATTAGTTTATCTGTCTCAAGATCACCATTTACAGAGATTTGGTGAATTTATGAGACATATTATTCTTCATTTGGGTAACTTTTGAAAGGTTTCTCTTACGTAACCCAATTAAATACCCTCTTCAGATCCTAAGATATTGTATACATCTAGTGCTCATGGTACAGACATCAGAGCACAAAAATACAGTGCAGCACATTTATTCTATTCCCTGGGGGCTGAGGTGGTACGGGTGCTAAGGCACATGGTTAAAAACCCAGAGGTTGCAATTTTAAGGCTATAGCAGAAGTGTTTGTGGCATGGCTGTGTCAGATTTCAATAAATCTGCAAAAATCTGCTAAATACTTTTTCACAAGGAGAAGGATACAGGAAGGATTGCTTTTAGTAAGATAAAACTGTTCAAGAATGTTATGTATATTGCTGACCCCTGGTGGTTGAGGCAGCTATGACAATGATATGTCAGTAATCTAGGAATTTGCTGATATTATGTTTAAAAAACAAAGCCTTCATGATGCTGATTAGTCCTTGTATGTTAAGCCTGTATCACATATGCTTGATCCAATCAAATACTTATTACTTGGGATTTTCTGTTTTGTTTTTCTTTGTTTCTGATGGAATAAACGATGTATTAAAGAGTTACAACCTAATCTTGCAGACTCTTACACAAGTAGGCTTTATACATATGCAGATAAAAAATTAGTCACAATACACATGCTAGCTAACTAGATCCTTTGATAGTTTTTCAAGCCTTTTCTGTAGACATCTGTTCAAAAATTTGTCTCTTTAATGTCACCTCATATCAGCAACTGAGGCCAAGGAGCAAATCCAGCCCAGTCATCTTCCCAGTAAAACTTTTTGGGGTGCATAGGGTAGTGAAATGTTGAACTTCAGTTCTGCTCTTGGTAGGGTGTCCATTAGCCTCAGAGGGTCTTCCTGAATAAGCATGCCTTGCAGAATAAGGTCCTTATTCACTGATTCTATTTGGAGCTTATTAATTGGGATGGTCCCCTGGCCTCAATGAAGTCAATAGAATATTTGCCTTTGGCCTTTATGGTCCAGGATTTTGTGCACAGCTTTGTCAGAAGGAGGAGTCCCCCAGTAATGCCCCTGAGAGAGAAGGCCTGGAAGCACGTGTGGAGTGGAAAGGACAGGGGGATTAGACATGAGGACATCCTTACTGTCCCATTCTTGTTTTCTCTTGTCATTATTACTTTTGTAAGCAAATGGCATCATCATCTAATTCTTTTTAAATGTTTGTGATTGGTTGAATAAGTCTCTGGGGGAAAGTGGGATATAAAAATCAATCTCTATAATCTTGAGTTTTCCATTTAGATGCTTTTTCATCATGCATCATGGAGTTTTTCCAGTACTATATTAGGAACAGGATGTCAGGGGCCAGTTCAGCAGACTGGGCAAATTGTCACCAGCTGGCCCCAGTTACCTGAGTTGGGTGGTTGCCAGTGGCTAAGCTACCCTCACTTGACCCCACTTGCCTGGTGGGTGTGGCTGCCTACTTTTAAGCAGCAGGCCTTTTCCAACAAGGCTGGTATCTCTCCATTTAGCTCTGGATTTCTTACTGCCCACTCCTTGTTTTCTGTGCCATGCTCTCTGTCTGCTTGCTCCTGGCTCCAGACTGACCCCTGTCTTCAAACAGCTGGCTCCTGGCTTGTGGCTTAGCTAGCTAATCACCCTACATCCATCCCATACAGCTGTAGCTGCTGGCTCCACACACCCTAGCTAGTGACACTTTGGGATGTCTGCCCTGTTCTTCCACAAGCATAGAACAATTTGATGAACAATATCGGGTTTCCCACTGGAAAATCAAAACCCCAACAATTGAAAACTGAAGAACACAGTAGATCTGGCAAATATTTTCAGAGAAAACTAAATTCTTTGCCTGAAGTAGCAGACTTCAGTCTTCAGGCTTGTTAATTTAGAATGTTTCACTTTTAGGTTTTTTAATCCCCTCATTTTGAAATAGTTTATCTTAGAAGAGTGTAAAGAGAGCACTCCAATTTTAGAGTTTAAGCTTTTACAAGTAACTCTATTTCTAGAGTAACTGACAGTGACATTTTATACACATTAAATTAAATTCAGCTGGAGTGTAAAAAATAATAATGGTGTTTAAATCAAGATACAATGATCCCTTTAGGGTTGTTTCTCCTATGTGCCTCGGGGACTACAGATTTAAAACCAGCTGACAGGAAGGAGAGATTTTAAGCCAATCAGAGAACAGTTCTGTATGACCAATGAAAAGCAGTCTTAGAAAAATGAGGCTTGATATGGTAGCTTTCTTTTCTGTCTGGTGCTGTCTGCAAATTCTAAGGAGCAAAGAGCCTGTGTTACAGTGCAGACTGTGCAATAGGTCAGAGAAGAGATTAGTGTCACTGAGAAGCTAACAGGCTACTGGTTTGCCTGCATTAGTTGCAAGCTGAAAGGCTCCTGCTCATGTCATGCACTCACTCACCCAGGAAATCAGAAGCTTTTCCAGGACAAATCTGAGGAAACAATGCACCAGGGTAACAACTTTGAGTGGAAAGAGAATTATAGAGACCTGGAAAGATGCCAGAATGCAGGTGGTGGAGGAAGCAGACCCAAGTGATGGGGATGGCTGTGGTTATGTGCAAGATTTCAGCTTGGACCTGCAAGTTGGTGTAATTAAGCCCTGGTTGCTGCTTGGTGAGTGTATATCTGAACCTAAATCCAAGTTTATGTTAAATGCCTGATCCTGAAGGTACCGAGCCCCACAGGAGGTATGCTCAGCTGCCAGCAAATCTATAGGAGCTGAGGATTCAATGCTTCTTCTGGGAGTTGCTCAGCATCATTCATGATCACTTTCTAGGGCACTGGTCACTATTGTTTAGATTGAAGTAAAAATGATGCTTCTTGTATTCTCCCCCTTGTTTTCCCATTGACCTTGTTTTATCCACATAAGTGAATGGAAAGTTGTATTTAGTAAGCTTGGCTAAAGAGTTGTTGTTTTAATATAAAACAAATTAAAATGAGTCCCCCTGTCCCAAAGAAAAAGAAAGCACTAACTTCTCTTAAAACAAAGTAAGTGGCTTCTTTGTCTTTTCTTTTTGAATAACGATATGCAAATGATATGATAATAAGGCCTCTCTTCTTACAGGATCACAAGATGCTGCTCATGAACTGGAAACGATGAAGAGATATGGGGTAAAAAACTGCATAGCAATGGCAGTAAACTGCCTCATAGTGGAAAGTGCTAGTGGAAAATGCTTTTTAATCATATGAGAATGTTGGTTTTAAAACTTTGCCCCTTCTATTTTTTTAAATAAGATTTGACCTAACATTTAGTGAGGTAGTACCAGAAGCTTCCATCCTATCTATACACGGTGTTATTATGGGTATCTAAGGGTTTCGTAAGAAGCTGGAGTATCTGCATTGCAAGATTAATTGTGCAAGCTGTTAAAGTTTGCTGTTTCATGATAGAACAGACTTGCTTCACTTTAAGTTGTGTTCTGTCAAGTCTCAATTATTGAGCAGGGTCAGATCTGGAGACAGGAAACAGTCCAGTTAAAAAGGATGGTCTCACCTCCAGCTCCCATTGTACTCCCTTTACATTTTGTTTGGTGTTGTAGGGAAGGTGGAATGGTCTCCAGTGGCATTCCTTTGCCATAGGACAGGGTATCCTGGCACATAGGAGTCACGTATCTCCCTGTACTGTAACAGTCCCAGCCACTAGACAACACAAAGATGGCATAAAGCTATTGTTGTCCTATCTCTGCCTAGTGTGTGCCTGGTGTACTGTGTGTTCTAGTTTGCAATGTTGGTAAGTCAGAAGGGCACTCTTATTTAGTACTCCAGTACCCAGCATAATAATTGAGATTGAACTCAGAGAGGTCTTACCTTTTGGATAAGAAATCTTCAGTTTATGGCTGGTTTTAAGGTTTTTTGGAACCCCCAGTTTGCTTTTTTCCCAGATCCTCTCAAAATCTCTTCTCTTCCTACACCATGTCTTCTACTGGACTGCTTAAAAAAAAATTCTCTTGTCTGCATGGCAAGGTGAGGACAGCAGATCCTCTGTCTCTATACCCCCTCATTTATTTGTAAAGAGAAGCATCATGTGATGTGTAATGTGAGGGTGAAGGCCATTGGCTAGGTCTTTTCCCAAGATGAACCAATGGCCTAACAGTGATAAGTAGGCAAAGGTTGGGTCAAGTGTCAGCCAGTCTGTCAGTGTGTTCAGAGAGTGAAAGACTCTGCCAATCTTTTATTACATTTGAAACTTGAAGTCTTTCAACTCTGGGGGGAGGGTTCAAATTTAGCTGTGGGAGAGAGTATCTCTGGTATTTTTTTATTAATTGTTGTCTATGTGCCTCCACATTATTAAACAAGATGTGCTTCCACATCAGAAGTAGCTACATTTCAGTGAGTGAGGGAATTTCTATAAGCAGTTTGCAAAGAAATGGGCATGTCTTATTAAAGAAGGTAATAATCTAAAATAAAACTAAATCATGTAATCATATAAGCTGTAGTTGGTATTTACCAATGGGCAATGATTTGTTCTTTATTTTGTTTGTCTTCATTAACTATCTTTTTTGGCTTAGGTTACTCATGTCCTAAATGTGGCATATGGAGTAGAAAATGCCTTCCTCAATGACTTTGTATACAAGAGCATTTCCATACTGGATCTTCCTGAAACAGACATCACATCCTATTTTCCAGAGTGTTTTGAGTTTATTGAGCAAGCTAGGATTCAGGTATATCAATAATTCATGCTACTAGTTATCCTGGCAATATTTTAAGACAGCTTCTTTTGATAAAAGAAAATATGACTCTGTCATATTCTATTATGAAAATATTACTTTTGGCATTGCAGTTTTTCAGTCATTACCCCTGCAGGTAAACTTTATATTGAAAAAAATAATTTCTTACCCTCTCTTCACTGTACTCTGTACTTGTTCACTAATCTCATATATTATGGTTTTTTGAGAATGACTTAATATAATTCTCTTTGCTGTAATCTTTTTTTAGTGTAGTATGTATTAGATCTCAAACAGAGGGTATCTTTTTCATAACCAAAGTTCAACATAGATCCAGATAGCAAGTTCCTGAAGAGAAACCTGTAATGGGAAATTGAAACCTATATGAGCTTTCCCTTCTATAGTTTCTAGAATCAATCCATCAGGGAGACAAGGTTTTGTTCTACCAAGGAAGAAGCAGGGAATTAACTACTACTGGAGATGAAAGGGGTTTTGAATGGGATGCTTCATCCTGCTGTTCTTGTTAGCCATCTCCTCAAGGTCTAACACACTAACCTATGAATACTTGCTAAATAGAAAGATGGATTTAAGCTTGTTTGTTGAATCAGACCTAACTGTACACTCAAAATCCTGGAAAAGAACAACAAAGGTAGGAAATGGACAAAATACATGAAGATGCATGGCAATTATCAGTTCTGCTCTCTGCATATGCCTCCAACTGGTATATTTCTGCAGAAAAAGGGAAAGTGATGATCAGCTTGATAAATCTACAAATAGTTGTATATTATGTTATTGCTTACAATGACAGAGGTAAGATCTGGTGACCCAGGAGGTTCCTTTGGTCTAGGAAAAGAATGTATATTGTCAGTCAAACTTACCAGATCTACCATGTTTGTTATTTACATAGTTTAGGATGAAAGAAGGTAACCCTGCTCCATCGTCCTTCGTGTTACAATATGTTCTTTCCTTCTAGCATATCATTTACAAGACACCTGAAACGCGCTCTCACTTAATGACCTCTTTCAGGTTTCTAGTTACGGTTTCCATTTCATTTCTAAATGAGATTTGACAGCCTTAATAGCTTAGAGTCACTGCTTTGCTTCAGAAATATAATGTTCCGGTTACTTCTCTATAAATAGAGGTGCTTTTATAGACTTTCAATGGCTATCTTAATATGTTGGTAACACAAATGATAGAAAGCCAAAGGATCAGATAATTGATTAGATTAGATCAGTGACATACATGCTGTGCTAGCAGTCTGCAGCAAATGGGCTGGTTACATGTTTCTGGACATCATGTTTTCATCATCAAAGATATATTAAAAGCTATTATTACTTTTCTATATAACCATCAAAGAGATGCTATTTTATCACCTGGGAAAGGAGACATGGTTTACACAGTCAGAAATGAGACACAGCAGTTGATGAGCAATTATGTTAAAAGATGTTTTATACCAGTGATGCTCAACCTCTTCAGTCCCGCAGGCTGGGTAAGTGGTGTGGGACCAGTCTGCAGGCTGGATGCAGCATGGAGTTGATGAATGGGGTTGTTCTGTGGGTGTAGTCTGGTGTGCAGATGTGATTTCCAGGCACCAGATTCAGCTGCAGAGCGACCGTGTGTTGGCATATGGGGCCGTATCATCTAGCCCACAGGGTTCTCCATGGGCCTGGAGATTTGGTGGTGGGGGAGTGGTGGCAGTGTTTATCACCATGACTCTGGGATCAATAAATGTGCCAAAATTCAGGCTGCAGGCCAGAGGTTGAGCACCACCTATTTACACAGCAGAGAACTTTGAGACTTCCTGGGTTAGTGAATAAAACAAAAAAGACATATACTAGTTGATAATTACTAATAAAAGATCTAGTAACCCACCCTAAAAACCACTGGACTGTGGTTGCTTCCATGTAAATGCTTAAATGAGATCAGATTATTCAAATACCACAGCATCCTCATCTGGGGCCAGATTTTCAGAAGAGCTCAGTTGCTTCCTAGAATAGAAGGCAGCAACCTACAGTGCCATTGGATCCATCTCAGAGCTGGGATGTGGGTATGGAGCTTTGCCCATGTGGAGCTGTAGCTGGGTGGTAGAGAAAAGGGATGATGACTGCATCCTAGTGGCAGTCTGCTTCAGATCTGAGAAAACATTGCTGCTGAGAAAATTCTGCCAATCTCTGATCTAGGGACCAAATTAAACGAGGAGACCTTTCAAAAGCATGTTAGGTGCAGTATCCATCCTAGGTGATCTGCAAGCAAAGCATTTACTTGACACCTGTTATATAATACTTCCAGAACATTGAAAAGGCAGTATCCCTGTTCAGTGACATCAGGAGTGTCTACACATGCATTAAATCCAGGAGCAATTTACTTGTGAGTAAATGTTCCTGGGCAGGCGTCTACATGTGTAAGGAAGTGGGAGCAGATTTGCTGCTAATGGCAGCAAACTGCTGTCACTTCCTGGGGCTGTGTAATGGGCCCCTGCTGCCGCCAGGGGGAGCTCTAGGCTCCCTCTGGGTGCTAGCCCAGGGGCTGGCAGGGAGCTGCAAGCAGCCCCCTGGGGGCAAGGGGCAATGTCCCACTAACTCAGCAGCAAGGAGCTCCTAACCCCAGCTCCCTGATTGAGGCAGGGGACTTGGAAAGAGTTGGGGCAGGGGACTTGGATTCCCTGCCCAGCTGGGGGCTTGTTACTAGCTGCCCCACCAGCAAATTGGGGTAGGGGGCTAAAACCTGCCCCACTGCTGCAGCCCTTTCCAAGCCCCACGCCTCAATCCCTCAGTTGGGGCATGGGCCTGGGACCTGCCCCTGACCAGGATAGTTCCCAGCCCTAACTCCGTGATTGCAGGGCAGGGGCTGAAGAGCCTGTTCCCTGCTCAGCTCCATGATCATGGAGCTGGGCGGGGAACAGGCTCCCCAGCCTCTGCCAGCAGGGAGCTCCCAGTACCAGCTCTACAGTTCAGTTGCAGGGCTGGCATTGGGAGATCCTTATCTCCCAGCCCCAGCTCTGTGACAGTGAGGCCAGTGCTGGGAAATCCTTATAAGGATGATTAATTTTGAGGAGACCTTCCTAAAGCACATTAGGTGCAGTATCCATCCCAGGTGACCTGCAAGTGAAGCATTTACTTTATATCCATTATACTTCCAGAACATTGAAAAGGCAACATCCCAGTTGAAAAGGCATTTGAAAAGGCAACAAATCCCCTTATGAGGATCTCCCAGCACCAGCCCTGTGACTGTGAGGTGGTGCTAGGAGATAAGGATCTGCTAGCACCATCCCTACAACCTTGGAGCCAGTGATGGGAGTTCCCTGCTGGCAGGGGCTGGGGATCCTGTCCCCCACTCAGCTCCATGATCATTATAAGGATCTCCTAGCACCAGCCCTGTGACCACGGAGCTGGCACTGGGAGATAAGACTCTCCCAGCGCCGGCCCCAGGACTGTGGAGCTGGCATTGGGAGATGAGGATCTCCCAGTGTCGACCCCAGAACCATGGAGACAATGCTGGGAGCTCCCTGCTAGTGGGGGCTAGGAACCCTGTTCCTCACGCAGCTCCGTGATCGTTATAAGGATCTCCCAGCCCATCACCTGCTCCCAGATCGCAAAGGTGAAGCGGGGACTGGGAGATAAGGCTGGGAGATAAACTTCCTGCTGCTGGGGCAAGGGGACATAGTCCTTCTGGTAGCAGAGCCTACCCTGGCAGCAGGCAGTTCCCAGGGGCAGGGAGCGTTCTCCCACCCCCTGGTGGTTGGCTGACCAGGAGTAGATTTGCTTCCAGTCAGGTGTCTACACAAGTGCTACTCCATAGTTAGTAATAGCAAGTAAATTTGCTATTTGCATTTATTTGCAGGTAGCAAATTTACTTGCAATTAGTGAGGTTTACTGTGCAGTAAGCTTATGTACATAGTTATTATGCAGTAAACCATGCTACTTTGCAGTAAAGCATCTTGTGTAGATGCACCCATCCTGTAGGGTTTTTGGGGAGAAAATTTTAGCCATGGTTCCCTTATGAAGATCTCTTCTTACAGTTGCATCAAGGGTGGTAGGTTCTTCTCCCCCTAAAGAAAAGACGCTGAAACCTGTAGAGGACCCTATTCTTCTATTCCAGTCCTTTCTCTCAGAAAGCTTGTCTCCTTGGCCCCAAGGTACGTGTGTGCTTTTCTTAGTTGGAAGAAACCACACCTTTGCAGAAGTATTTGAAGGAAACTTGGCTTTGAAATTTAGAGTTTTCTTTTCCCTACACAGCTGATTCTTGGATGGAAATTGAACTGGACTAGAAGACCACTGGACTTTCAGGGCCACAGGATTGTGTTCTTATAAAACTTACTAAGATTGCGGCTGTCTTGCATTTTTATATTACATTCCTGTTGAATACAAAAATGAATAGGAGTAATTTTCATAGTTTATCCCCGGTGAAAGGGCAGTGGCATCACATTAGTGGCCACTCCCTCTTCCACTGATTGGCAGAGAGGGCTGCCAATCAGCAGCAAGGGGTGGGGTCACCTGAAGGGCAGCCATCCAGCCATTTAGTGGTGAGGGGCATGTGAGGCAGAGTCACGGGGGAGGAGGAAGTGGGGCTCACTGCAAAAAGACTGAAAATGGCGCCAGGCGCTAGCAGCAATCCATGATTTTGACTTTCCCTGCACGTTTCAAGTGTGAGGATTTTACCATTCACCCTTCATCTGGCAGATCTCAGATTTGCCAATTTTTAAAAGGCATTTATAATAGAAGATATAGAGGAATAGTTAAATGAACTAGGGCAGCCAGTTGTGAGGTATTAGTAGTTCTACTGATATAGGTGCACAACACCTCCTATAGGTAGTAGGACCCCAACTACAAAATAGGCTATTTATTTTATTCATTAGCCATTGCAAAGCAGTTTTGGTCATTTATGCTATTAATTTAGAACTCCTTATCTTTGTTCATAATTATTGATATTTATCAAATGTCTTAGAGCTTGATAAAGTGATTTTAGTAAACCTAAAAAAATAGGAGAAAACTGTAGATGAAATATATTACCGTGCATGTAACAGACAATAACAGAGCATCTTACATCACTGACGTATTTCATTTTTCATTTGAAGGATGGAGTGGTGCTGGTTCACTGTAATGCAGGAGTCTCTCGTGCTGCAGCAATTGTCATTGGTTTTCTAATGAATTCAGAAGGACTTGGTTTTGCCAGAGCCTTTACTTTGGTGAAAAATGCAAGGCCTGCCATTTGTCCAAATCCTGGCTTCATGGAGCAGCTTCACAAGTACCAAGAGTACAATGAAAAGGCAAATGCAAGCATAAATGATCATGAATGATAAAGAGAAACAAAACAGTCTGTGTGCTTGTACTGTAACAGATGTGTCGATGTACTTTATACTGTCATTTCTCAGACTCCTCTCACATGTTTATTTTAAATATATTTTCTACATATTTAATTCTTCACTTTTTTATCTAAATATGTTATGTTACTTGGTCCAGACTTCAAGCAGTTAAGAGGCCAAACTTTATTCCATTGACTTCAGCGATGAATTGGCCCAAGGACATGTTTTTCCCCAGAGTGGTGATAAAAGATCAAGTTCTAGCTTGTTTGAAATATCAGACAGAAGAGAATGACAGGTTTTCATTGAACTGTCTGAGGATACAAGCAATAGAAAAGGGAAATAAAATGCTGGCTCAGATAATAAAGTTACTGCATTTACTTTAATACTGAATCCAATCTTTATCCATTCTAGTTGGCTGTAAAACCTAGATAATAAACTATTCTTATAATAAAGGGCCTCACAGTTGGGTCTTAAATTGAACATGCAAAGAAAGGCAGGTTTTTATGGAAGCCTGTGGGTAGGCAGCCACTAAATATTTTTTAAGGATTAAACTAGATGGCCTTTTGATGAAGAAGAAGATGTAAAATGTTTTAATGCCCCATTGAAACTTTTTTCTACACTGTCCTATTATGGGGTGACTTTAAGTACACTGATATTGCACTTTGAAATGACAGGTAACTAACCTCAAAGTGAGATATTTAAGGAGGGGAAAATGCCAAGATTTCAAAGAGAAGATTGTTTTATTTAGAATAAAAAGTATTGTCTGGATCAGGTTTTATAATTCAATGTTTTTCACACACAGATATACTATAAAAATGATACAAGACTGTAGGACAGGTATAAATGTGCAGTAAAATGAAGGGCTACTGAGAGGCTTGCTTATAAGAATTTATAGAGTATGCTTTCCTTTGGGCACCATTAACCTGAATTGCAGTAATTCCTAAGATGAGTTAATGTATTCAGTCTAGTTCCTTGTAGATTGATGTTAATACTAAGTGTTCAGAAACTTTATTACCATAGAGTTAAAGCTGTCCAATGATCTTACGCCCTTGCAGAACATGTGAATTAAACTTGATCTTCTGAAAATCAAAATCAGTTAACATAACTAGAACTTACATCTATAAACTGGGAAATAAATGGGAGGCATCACCTCCTTTTCCTAACCCCAGTTCCCATTTATCCTGCCAACCACCTCGGGCTTTATTCTCAAGACTATTATCCCTCATCTTAATTCCCTTCAGCCTGAGCTTTCCTGATCCTTTTTCTGTCCTCTTAATACCAAGTGCTATTACTCATCCCCATTCATCTCAACGAGGTTAATCCCTTCTTTCCAGTCTTCCCTCCCCACCTATTTTTCTCACTTCTCTGGACTCTAATCCTCTCTCCCTTTTCTTAGTCATCCCAACACTCACATTTAGCATTCCACCAGAACCCCCCTGCATTTTCCTTCATTACTTCAATTCCTAGTCTGTAAATTTTCATGAAAAACTATAAGTCTGAAAATAATATAAGTAGCTTATGCTGGGGGTCAGGTGTTGGGAGTGTATTAATCACCCCCTGACCCAATGACTCATTTTCCTGGGCTACAAACACAGTTATTCTTCCAGAAACATAATTACCTTGGTCTGACTGCTTACCAAATTACTATATCTTCCCTGCATTTGATCAAGGCTTATTACTTTCACAATATTTCTGAAATAAAACTGTAATTTTCAAACATTTTAAAATAATGCACCTAAGCAAGAAACTTTTTTTCTCAGGGAAAGACTTCTAGAAAGAGCCCCTATTGAATGCAAAGAACATGCACACCACCTGAAGACTGCCATAGATTTTAAACTCTCAGTACCTGGACCAATGATTACAGCATATTATTTTTGATCCAACCAGTTGCTAACACTAGATTGCCTATTGGGCTCAACAGTCCTGGTCTTGTTGCTGAGGTACATTCCATTCTCTTTTTTTTTTCATATCAGTTTAATAGTGCTGACCTACCATTGCAAACTTCATCTTTAGTAAATTCTTCAACTGGGCAATGGAAGCAATGTGCTAGCTAGCCGAGATAAACTGAGCAGCAGAAATTAGTTAGAGGATGAATACAGATTATAATTTGAGCTACAGGTCCATGCAAAATAAGTTAGAGGAGCCAGGTAATTTTTTAAAATGCTGTTTTCAGGGGCTTATATCTTAGGGGGCGTGTCTACATGAGACAATGAACAGAAGACTAATTCTACTGTAAAACCCATGCTAATACGCAGTAGATTTAGTTTACTGTGCATTAATGTCACTAAAAAAAGTGTTCATCAATGCTAATGTGCAATAGCACTGATTACAGTACAGTAAGTTAGTACCTCTCATTACAGGTTTTAAACGTAATACGCTGTAATTATGGCACATTAATGAACATGTAGACATGCCCAGGAACTCTTTTGAAATGGCCTAAAGCAGCGGTTCCCAATCTGTGGTACATGTACCACAAGTGGTACACAGACAACCTGTCAGTGGTATGCATTAACAGATTTATTATAATTACTTTACAGGACAAAAATTTGCTGGTGGTACTTAAGGTTGTATTGTTTTAAATTGGTGGTGTGCAATATGTCAGAGTTTGGGAACCGCTGAAGCTTACATGGCATTTTCATAAAAAACAAATTATTCCTATTTTTTGTAGCTTCCCTGAATTAAAATTTCCTTCCAGGGTGAATATACTGACTGATTTCAGCTGGGGAAGAAAACTCTACCCTGCTGTACAAGAGTGGTTCGATTGTTGTGTGTTATTTGAATACTCTCCTGCAGTCTTATGGAAGTTCCAGGTGAAAAGTTTTTTGTCTGTTTGTTTTTTAGTATCACTGCAATAGAATGTTTAGTTTCAAAGGGTGGGTGACCAATAGAGGACTTGCTTTTACTGTATAATTACTAGTTCTATATAATTATAATGTAAAGTTTAAAGCATTTGTACTGAGTACTGTTTTTATGCAGTTACATTGTAGTGTTATTGCAGCAATGATGATCTACAGACTATCCAAGAAACAGGATTTGTTTGGTTATATCATTTATTGGACTAATTATATGTTTTGGTAGATACCTTTTATTGGACCAACTATATCGAACTATTAAAATATAGTTGGTTCAATAAGAGATTTTAACAAATAAATTCCACTTTTTCCAGTTCTGTGCACGTCCACAAGCTGTAAGTCATTATAATGCCACTGTAGCTGATAGGCTGGATGTCTGGCTGCAGAATGACTTTTTTCCTTCAGGGAGTATGTGGTGAAAATTCCTTCTATCTTGGTCCTGTGGAAATTTTCAAAGAATGCCCATCAGCTTCAGGGACTTTCTTCAGTCCTCATGTGTAACCCTGCTGCTTTTATACCTATTACCCGTTCATGCCTTGATTCTTTTATGCAGCTATCAATACTAGTAGTACTTGTTTTAAAAATTAGAAAACATCTGTATAAGTCAGAAAAAAATACAAGTTAAGGAAGGTTACAGTTAAAGACAAGCCTGAACCAAAATTTGGGGTCCTACCAGCCAGAAACTTTAAAATGTTGGAATTCAGAATCTGGAGTTGGTTATTATTATTTTTTACTTGAGCCAATCTCTAGTTGCAGTCACCTGAGGAAAATGGCAATCAACCTAAATAAACACTGTGAGTATAGCAGATGCAAATATACCAGTGTACAGTTAGGGTAAAATAGTGTGTTGTGCCCCTTAGAATTGAAGTCTGCCCCACGATTGGATGTACCTATTTGAATGAAGTGGAACATTTTACCCCCTGCTAATGAACCTATTATTTTGAAACTCAAATGCTGAACGAAACTAGCACTATCATAATATGCCATAAATTATTCTTTACCTGCTGTGACATTCCAGATGAGTTAAGGGATGAGTTAGGGGATAATGACACACAATTTACATTTGATGTATTTTGACAATTCTCTTTGCAGCAGCAGCTCAAATATAGCATGTCAAGCCTCTTGTATGCACCACCACGTGAGTTTGCAGAAAAGTCTGCTCAAATTCTGTAACGCACATGAAAATATATATTGGCTATTAGAGTTCGAGATTTATGTTTGAAAGGTTAGAAACTTCAGCCAAACTTCTGTTCCAAAGTTAAGGAATCAGACTGCCAATATGTGTAAATCATAACTCAGCTGAAATCACTGTAGCAATGCCATTTTATGCCAGCTACTCATCTTGCTCAATGAGTCCAGAAGGAGTCACAAATAATTTTTCATCTTTGAATGAGGGAAGAGAATGATAGATCTCTATTAAGAAATGTATCTCAGCTTAATGAAGTAAGAAGTAAATCAAATGAAGTAATAACACTTGTACAAATGTAATTACGGCTGACCAGACCATTGCTTCATAGACTAGAAAAATGAGGTAAACATGGAACAAATGACAGCTCCATAGAACAAAGGAGACATCTGGCTGATGTTTTGGTTATGTAAAGCACATAAAATGCATTTCTAGCATTCAAGGTTCTGACTGAAATTTCAATATGCTTCAAAAGTTCGATAAGCAAAAATATACAACATAATTTACCAAAACAGTGTCTTTATTTTCAAATTTGCATTAACATAAAATCATAAATCCAGCAGATACACCTTTCTGAGATGAATATGCATGCCTTCATGTCTATAGCTTCCTACCATTTCCTATTTGCTGCTGCTGGTCATCACTTTCCCTTTTCCATATAGAAGACAGTCATTGAAACTTTCCATTCTAGATCTGTAAGGTCAACTGCAGAAATGCCTCTCCTTTATGCTTCTCTCTGGCGAGTGAATTTGCTCATTTCATATTTCTAGTTCTTGTCAGCAGG